TAACATAGGACTAATTGAGCAACCTTGAGAAACTCCACGTCGGATTATTCTCGTTCTAGACTTAGACATGCCCCATACAGTATGCATAAGGCGATTTCTGATGAAATTCCTAATCCATGACCACAGTTTTGGAGGCATGAAAAGGGCTCCCAGACGTGCTACGAGAACGTCATGCCTCACGTAATCATATGCAGATGTTGCAGTCAGGAAAACCGTTAGTACCACTCTATCCCGTTGTACTTCATCTTCCAAATACTGCGTAAAGGCACAAGCCTGTTGCTCAACACTCATTCCCCGGCGGAAACCAGATTGTTCCGCCTGCATCCCTTCCGCAAACGTATCTAGAAAATGGTTGTACAGTCGGAATCTCGATTCTATCGACGATTCGGTGAGATAATTGCAACTTTCTCACGTTTTACGCGAGATTTTTCTTGGCCCATCGGATGGGCCCCATCCCTCCACTCCCGGTAAACACGGTCATCCTGAAAGAATTCTTGCAGCCGCGCATAAAATCATGTTAGGCGCCCGTTCCTGAAAACGACTTGGAGGTGGACACACTTTGAGTCTCTGTCCGTACTTCATGTGATTCACATGACCACCGTCCGGGCCACGAGCTCCATGAACCTTGGCAGACTCAAACTGTTTGAGTCAAACACCCCAAAGCTCTGAGCAGGACCAGGCCGACCATGATTCTGCTCCGCAATTGAGGCCACCAACCCAGCGAATCAGGAAAACATTTGAATAGGAACATCAATTCAGCGATAGGGGCGGATAAGGAAATCAATTTCGCGAAGCTATGGTCCGTGTGTAGGGGCAGATCGATTCTGCTCGCCGGTCAGCTCTCGCGTTTGAAAGCATTTACGGAATTCTTCGCGGATAGCTGAGAAACTTGCTAAGGAAGTCACGGTGTTAACAAAGGTCGAACGCAAATTGAGGCTACTCTCTCGGTCAATATAATTTATTTATTCTCGGCATTTTCAAACGCGTGGCAACTCGTTATTTGGTCACACAAGGGGAGCGGTGATTATGGCGACAACTTGTCACTGTCAGTCCGACAGGCATTATTCTACTACGGAGTTGAAGGATTCAACGCAGAGTCGTAAGATTCGACGTGCGTAAAACAGGGGGAGTATGCCGGTGGAATTGGTCTAGGACAGGGTGGACACAACAGTCCGCTTAAACAACTGTCTCGAAGTAGACGCGAAGTAGCGCACAGGGGGGTGAGTCTGACATTAATTGATTTTAAAAAACTCGTGAGGGGAACAAAATGAGCTATGTCTCGCATTGATATTCGAAGGGGTTGAGGAGTTACGTTCGGGAACGGATACCGTCTACTTAATAGCTAGCAGGTTCGCGATGCGCAGCACGAAAGATGGCAAATATAGGGTGTCTCAATGACATTGCATACCAGCATTTCTATTGAGAAGTGTTTCAAAGACCATCCCTGTTGTTAGTTGTATCGTTGGTATCGATATAACCACTATGACGCCAGCCATCCCGTGCAAAGACAGATTCTGCTTCTCATGTGGATTCCAGCGCAATAATAGGGGGGTCCCCATCAGTAGACCATCGGTTCGTGCTTAGATCGAGACGGTATGGGGCGATGAGACAGCCGGTATGCTAGCTCTGAAGAACGCTCCATGCCAGATATGCTCAGCATGTGATATTTCCCTCGGAACAGATCCCAAGAAGTATATACAGAAGTGGGCCGGACTCCGGCCGCCGGAGAAGGTGTACAGACTCGCCAGTCTCGGGAACGCAAAGCAAAGCTGGGTATGAAGAATACGCCCCCACTGAATTGGCGTACCCTGCCCTTCTGCGATGGTGCAAAAGGGACGGACTGCTACTTTTGTGATAATATGACTGCTAAAAACTGCAATGCCAACCGCCGCAAAGGACGGTCCGGTAGACCAAAGAAAGAGTCTGCCGCTGTGAGAAGCAACGAATGTCAACCGGGTGGCAGTTCTGGTAGCAGTAGTAGCAGTAGTACTATGCCTGTCCTAATGCTTGTTGACAAAGAGGCTCTCGGTTCTTGTGGCCCCACTTCGACTGACGGAGTGCTAAGTTTCTCGCAACTCTCGGTTTCAGCCAAACATGCTCTTCTGGTAGACGCCTCTCAGAAGGAGAACCTGGCTGGCCAAGTAAGCACTGGGTGTGCCTCCGCGTTCCGTAAGCAATTGGGCAATCCGAAAGGAACGGAGTTAATTCTGCCGAAGGTCAAAGGAAAGCCAGTGACTTATCAGCAAGTTTTCTCCCGGGAGGCTAAGCCGAAACTCTCGATTGGTATCGATTTCCTCAATCGCATTCAGACAACTGCCACCGTTTCGAACAAGGCTCTTGAACGGATACGAGGCCTGCTACAGAAGGAACTCTGTTGTTTAATAACATTACCATCGAGGGCCAACTTACAAGAGGATCGTTCAAGAATGAAGAGCGAGTGGAGGACTACGGAGATCGGAGGAAGAATTGTGGCTATGATCAAGTGTCCTGTTAGTGCTTTGAGAGACAGGTTTGGAGAGGACTGCGTGCTTCGTCTCTCTGGTGATAGTGGTGGTGGTCTTATTCAAGTTGTTGGCAGCTCCCATAAATGTACATGTTTCGCATTATCGGAAGCCCGGTAGCACAACGCCATATCTCTTATACGTAGGAGACTAAAATATGCGATGAACTGCGAGATGTTTTCGAGCACTATCGAACCATCTTGAGTGGTGACATCAAATGGCTACAGGTCATGCTTGGACTTACCACTACGAGCTGTCCTGCTATGTCAAGAAAGCTAGCACTGGCCAATAACGGGAAAGCGAAGGGTCACGTTAAAGGCCAGAGGTTCCAGCCCCTGTATGAATTCGAAGGATCTCCATTCCTGGCTATTGCCTGCCCAGTTCTACACTTAGGTATGAACCTTGTGAAGGCACTTCTGCAGCCTGATGCAGAGGATCGATGGGAAGCGGCTGGCTTGGGAGCAACTACTGCGACAATCATTAGGCTTTGGGGAGATATACGTCATCTGGTTTACGCTGATCACAGCTCTGAAGACGAAGACGATGACACGAAGTGGATTGATAAAGTAGAAGTTCACCTGAACAGGTTGTCGGAGGTCGTTTCGAAGGATTGTCTGCCGCTGACACTAAGCCTGCATGTAACTCTGCATCATCTACTGGATAGCCTTCGGCAGTTAGACATCGCAGGCATATCTGCCTGGTCCGTCACCGAAGAGAGTATCGAGTCTCTCCATGGGCAGTACCCATGGAGAGACTCCCAGAGATGGGCATACCCCTGCCCATTGGGCACGGGTATGTTTTGGTGGGGCTGAAGTGAGAAAAATTCTTACAAAAAACTAACTATACTACCTGATAGAGAAAATTACGGGGATTCAGAATATATATGTCACGCCGTTTCAAACTTTTTTTACAATAAATTTCGCTCGCCCAAAATTCTGCGCGCTTTTTACTACAAGTTAGAAGTGAACAGTTTAGAGTACTTGCTCGGAGTCCTGAAGCCCGATGGCTTACAAGGCCTCTAAGAGACATCATGCTTCTAAGCTCATCATTGGTTAGATGGGTGAACTTGTTGATACCAAGGCGATAGGATAGATCTGAGGAACACGTAGAACGATAGGCCATCGGGTAATACAAACTCCGGCCTAAAGACGAGCTCTATGTCGCCGTTGTTGGTCAAGAGTTTGAGACTCTCTCCATAGTTTATACTCTTCACCTATCGCAGAAGCAGTAGAACGAATGCGATCATAAAGAGCCCACCCATCATGATCAAAAATCTCCGATCTACGATTGAATTCCTGAGAATTACAATCTGATGGTATAGGAGAATCAGCAAGAACTGCAGGAATCCGTGGAGACTCACCAAACACTCGTTCAAAGGCACATGTCGAACCACTACCACTGCCTTGTCGCACCAGTTGATTAGCCAAAATCTCGGCAAATCCAAGGAGATTAACAAAATCTTCATCAGACCTTACAGAGCCTCTTTCAATAGCCAAACGCCGTTTGGCAAACGGAAAACATGACTCAGAAAGGAATTACGACGCTCTACATGAGCATTACCCCGAGGATTTCGGGTAGCCACCTTACGATGGCTCTTAATGCCAAGTAAATTGTTACAATATAGAAACACTTCATTAATGAACGACGGAGACATATCGGTTATAATTGTCGAAGGAGTAGAAAGTCGAGACAACCATCGTCTAAAGAAAACACTATAGGTTTCAGCAGCTGAATAGCCCCGTTGTGGCTCATATATACAATATCCCGACGCCAAATCACTTATAGCAAGTACAGTGGTATAGTTAGTGTAGGGACGGAACGTATCAGGAATCGACTTATGATCCATAGATATAACCGAAAAACGCGCCATATCATAGCTATTGTCGCCGAAGTTGCGACTTGATAAATCTACCACCTTATTCTCTTGACAGAAACATTGAGCAGCGTACGTTCTCGCATCGACCAACAGACACTTGCAGCTCTCCGAGCGCTACTGATAGGTAAGGCCCATATTATTTCCGGAATATATAAAGCAATATTATCAGTTAATAATATACTTAAAATTTATTAATCCGACTTAAATCCTGGAAATAAGTTGCACCATGATAAAATAATAATAAGTATTAAATGATCTAAATAGATATTATTATATTTCATATTAATTAATATCGACTTCCAGTATCCAATCCATATTTTACCAGACTCTGCTAATCTTTCCCAGGTTAAACAAGGTAACGCCTCACCTAGCTTTCCTCCCATTTTCCTCAACTGTCGAGCAACCAGCGATCGCTTTAGTAAATGCTTCCCGCGCGCCATGATATTCTCGCAATAGTAACTGACGAACCCCGAATGTCTCGACCTGATTTTCCCGTTATTTTCTCCGAACTCGTAACGAGTTACTCGTTCACTGTTTTGGTGTTCGAAGTTTTTTAAACTGTCACTGCCAGGCGGAGTTGTCTCCGAGCATAGGATGAAATCTCAATAATGTCAATACTGATTAAAACAAGGCCCGATTCAAGCGGACTCACTTCTGATCTGGAGTCAGATGCGCTACCGTTGAGCTACATGGCCAGCTTACCATGCTGTTGTAATGCAACATTGTCTATGGAACAGCTGAGATCATAATAGATAGAATTCAGATGCAGTAAACAGAATCTCTTCGGCACGCTTTGTATCTATTATGGTGCTATAACGTAGTAAGTCAGTTTGATTGGCATGGCAAGCATTTCAAGATATAAGCTTCGACGCTTTGTGGTTTCAGATCGGAGAGAAGGACGAGCTATACGTGCTGTTCGGCGTGGCAGGATTAGCGGGGATTAGTACCAGAGCACATAATCTCTGATCACACCTGCTAGATGTCATCTAGGTGCGGCAAACCGTCTAACAATCTAGTCGTCATCTAACCCGTCTCACCGTCTAACAATCTAAGTTATGAAACAATGTTAAATACGTTACGTATTATACTCTGGTGACCAGACCAATACACTGGGGAGCGCGAGTTGCGCGGGGCGCACTGCTTCTACCGGGAAGATTCGTAAAGCATGAGCATTTAACAATCTCAGTAGCAATCTGCCACTGAGATTGTAACCAATAGATAAACTTGAGGTAGAAATCCAAGCGATTATTATTATTCGACTTGTTCGTATTCCTCTTTTGTAAACTTGGGTCGACATATAAAATCCAATTCATACTATCGGACTCGATCGTGGTGATGTTACTGTGGTAGTCCGTCGTGTAATTATTGTAGTTTTAACTTGATTACTGATGAGAGAACTAACCGCACATCGATAAACTTTTATCACAAACACAACATCGATGCCTGAAAGTTTCAGACTGAAACGCATGCTATACCTGAGGTTTGGAAATAAAAACTATTCCGAGCAATATTATTAGTTTTTAATATCTATCGATGAAATAGTCGCACTCAAAGCTGTGAGCTCGTTCGATCATCTATGTCATATAAGCCAAAAAAGATCAGTTCTTCTAGCAACAAATCACGTCGAAAACGTCACCTCCGGAAACGGATACTGTACTCTAATAAAGGGCAAACTGCGGATGGTAACTGCTATAGCTGGGAGCCCATCGATAGGAGTCACGCGAAGGAAATGAACTCCAGCGACTTCCACGAGCATAATACTCCGCTGCAGAATTATGAGAGCTCTCAGAGAGCTCGTCGCTTCTATCTTCATCAAGAGACAAAAAGTTGAACTCATAATCACAATCAGAGCTTATAATATTATGCCTCAGTGCAATAGAAGCTAATTGTGCATGACACCCCGAAGAGGGTGAACGATCTGAAGGAGAAAGGGAAAGTACATAAACCGTCCAATTGTGACGCAAACCGACAGACACTATTTCGTCATTGTAGAATGGCTCATCACACGGCGTTAGGACCCGATCCTCTCCAATATCATACACATGAAAGCGTCTATCCTCAACAGGACCAAAGATACCATAACATATACTGCGACCTGGAATCATTAGCAATCTGCACGTATGCGCATGAATTGAAGGTGACTCGATAACGCCTTGTCCTCTTGTCCAGTGATGAACAACTCCTTCTTCTGGCTCGATGTAGAGGAGTTCCGTCAGTGATCCTTCTTCAGTGAACAACAGCGCCCTGAAATACTAGCTTTGAACGATAGGGACCATCTGCCGGAAGTTCGCCAACTTTCTTGGGTTCATCGCTGACAGAGTCGATCATGTACAAATTATTGCTCTTCACACCAAGTAAGAACAAGCAGCCACAAGCCAGTTTAATTTGCCTTATAGTTTCAGGAAGACAGACTATGCTTGTCAACCGACCATCGCCTTTATCGAGAGATACTTTCCATACTCGCACAGAGCCTTTCCTGGCAGTAAAATAAAGATGATTACGATATACAAAGCAAAGAACAACCTCACGCTCCAGTTTAAACAGTCCTTCTGTTTCAAGCTTACGGCGGCCTGGCACTTCTCTCACAGCACACACTATCTTCTTGGTGCCGTTAGCCAATAATCCATATAGAGACTCATAGGTATCCGACTCAACATATTTTTTACGCGTCGGTAAGTTCAACTCTTCCTCATACTCCATCGTATTCGGTACAAGAGTCGGTAGATAAGACCATACGATTCGTTTGGCGTCTTCTATTAGTTCATCGATTACAGCGACTCTCGTAGTAGTGATATCAAAGATCGACGAGCCACCACCAGGCAAAGATACCTCAGAGGTCGAGTGGAACATTTCGGGGCTAATAGAACTCACTAGGGCAGAGGATAACCGTAGAACCTTCTGTGTGACGATCACGACTAACTCTATTGAACGATAAATTTAATAGATACCAGCGGCATGACCCATACCGCTCCCCATAATGTGAGTGTATACTCTCATGTTGTGAATGAACGAAGCCGATAAGCGTTCATTTTGATTCCCTTCTCTGTAGAGAGTTCGGCGACATTTTTTATCGCACGGTATATCGCTGAAGATCGTCGGTGTTTTTGATAGGTCTACGTGAAAGGCAGCCAGTAGAAGTCTACTCGAAAATTTGTAGAAACTCAGCGACTCAGAGTTATAAGAAATATGGCAATGAATGAATTACTATATGTCATCGATGAACTCAGCCACTAATGATCTAAACTCCTCCCTGGCGTGAATGTATTCTCCCTCGCAGCTCGGCACTGGAGGAGGCTCGACTGGTCGGCGCGGCGCAAGAGAGGTTGCTGATCGCGGAGATGTCCTGAATATCGGACCGGAAAAAGACCGTCGTCGGCCTGTGGGCTGTCGAATCTCTAAATCGGCTTGAGTTGCACAATCGATCATCTCTGGGGTAACCTGCACGCCAATTTCCACAACTTCAACTCCCGGCACCTCTGCCATCACAGACTCATCACGTGTCCGGCTAACTTCAGTGTTATTAGGGATATCCTCGAACTGGATCAGCTCCGTCACAGGCGGCGCTGTCTCCTCCTCATCGACGCTCAATGCCAGCGAGTCCATCGATTCTGGTCGCACCCCACGGTTGCGGCGATCTTCTCGAGGCGTCAGATCGAAGCTGATACTCGCACCAGTCGCAGCCGACTCTCTGTCATGAGCCCGACAAGGTTGTAGCACCTCCATTGGGGGACTTCCCAGAAGATCAACAACACTTGGCACGACACTCTCAACCACTGGCGATGGTTTTGCGGTGGAAACCTCCGGCATGACCGATAATGCGTCAGAGCTACTCCGAGTCGGAAGTGACGAGGTGAATGTCGATGACGAGGATGATGTAAGCATGAGTGAATCCTGCATCCGATCATGTCTCCTCAATAACTGCCTAACAAACCGGCTCGGAGATGCCCTCAACGGTGAGCAAGTACGTTCCTCAACTCCACCAAGCCTCTTCCTAATGCGTTCCAGGACCAATTCCGCGCCCCCCTCATCATCCTCATCAGCCACTGTATCAACCGATTCAAAGATTATCCCTAAGCCTTTCCTCCGGGCTCGCCATCGCTCCAGAATGTCATCATCGCCGTCCATACTTTCCTCATCATGCTCTGCTCGAGGCTCTTCGATACGATCGTCAGCCGCTCTCAGCTGCCTTATTAACGAGGATACGTCACTGCTAACGTAGCTGCGGGTATTATTTTCTGACACCTCGACGCTCTCGGCGATCTTATTTATCTCGGAAACCTTATTTTTCCCATCCACTTCCCTCGCCGGCGAGACGCTTCTGTCTATAAAAGCCTGCTCCGCATGCTCCTCTGGCAATATATGTTGAACTCGATGTTCTATCATGCTCCCCCTCAGAGCACTCCAAAACCGCTCAGCTGGCTCCTTTGCGGGTATCTCAGTCTCCTTCTGGAACCTCGGGGACTTGGCTGCCCTCCCCGGTGGAGTTCGGCTCCTCACTCGACCGCCCACCAGACCTTCGCCGCGAATCGCCAATTTAACGTCATGCGAGTCGCCTCGCCGCCGAACTCCATATTTCTTCTCGACCGACTCTCGCAATTGATTCGCTCGCTCAAGGCTCTCCCGAAGAGATTGCCGTCGACGATCTCGAGCCGCCTGAAATAAAGGTGCACGCCTCGATGACAAGGCTCCCACCTTTGAACCCGCTACGGTGGCCATGCAATTCGAGGAAGTGTTGAAGTAATGTACGCTAAAGGAATACCAGGGTTAAACTAAAACAAAGGTGGGAGCAGTGCCATTCTGTTTACAGCGGTGCCTTGGATGATGTCAGATTCGATAGGGTTGAGGAGAAACCCGAGATCACAGTTTGAAAATTACCGTTGGACCGCCAAAATCTCAAAAACTTGAATTTCTCACAAGTGATAGGCCATGGTCAGATGAGTCATACACCCCCCCGGGAAGGCATACGAATGCTACCAGTCTTGTTCTCATATTCGATCGTTAAGTCGTTCGCATCGTCGCTGGGCAATTTTTTACCAGATTTTTTTGTATTGATCAGCAGCTCCCGATTTCGTGGATCCCTCGAATGATCTCCCAAAACTTCAATCAAACAAACCTTACAGAGTCGGTTCAAACAAAATATCGAATCTAACATCCTCCCCGCTCAGCAGAGAGAGTCACTGGCAACCTTCCTTTTAATTGAGACTAAACCAAACCTCAACATTTCGGAACATCAGGTACACCGTCAGATGACAATGGTTCACGTAGCAACAGACTGGCGATCAATTCCAGCCACTAACTTCTCAAACTTTTCAACACCCTCGTCGACTTCGCCTCCATTCACAGCCGGGCGCTGAGGATCTCGGTAGACTATGGGATCCTATAAAGATGCTCACATTCTCAGGAATGACCAATTCAAAACGGGCGCGTAATACGTGATGATACCAATAATAAGGTTAATCGAATGTCTGCTGCCCAACTCGACCGATAAAGACCATCCCAAGAGGTGCCCACGACGATCATCATACAACGTTTTATATTTATTTCCCAAATTTTCTGACTTCTCATCGCCAGTGTGATTCACCATCGCAACCTCACCCTTACCTCATGCCCAGCCGGCCCCAACGTAACAGCTTCAACTTCGGCAATCTTCCTATAGTCTATTACGAACCTCACATCATCCGGTTCGAGCTCTCTG